GAGATGAGAGTGAACAATCAACCATTTGTACTAAGGAAGGGGAATGTGCAATTGAAATGACGGTCATTCGAGAACAAATTACTAATGCGTTGGTTAATATGTGATTGATTTGTAATTTGTTATAAAGACAAAACAGTCAAATTATGAGTGTTTGTTAGTAAGAGTTAATTTATGTGCACTGGTGATGTAATAAATAACTTTATTAAGGATTAAAGTTTTTCATAAATGGTTATGGAAGATCCTTTTATGGTCTACAATGCTTCTAAAATATATGTTTCTAAATTTTTATATGTATGGATGAATTAATATATGTATACATTGATATATAGATAAAGATAAATTTTAAACCTATATGTTTTCAAAATTACAATATTTTTTAAAAATTTTCTATAAAAACGAATATTAAAACCAATATATTTAATTTAATTAATCAAGAAATAATATTTTTCTGAATTTTATGTATATTACACTCATATTTATACAAATAAATCAAAAATTAAAAACAGTTTTAACAAATAGGGGCAGTTTGGTCATTTTAACATGAAACAGCTGGCCTACAGCATTTTTCCCGCAGCTGCACCAAACAGTCCGTCAGCTTCCCCACAGCTGCTTCCCCCTAGCTGCGCAGCAGCTCCCTGGGGCAGCGCAGCTGCAGCTGAAAAGCTGAGAATCTGCAGCTGCGCCAAACAGAGCCTATATCTCACTTATGAAATCCATCAATAGTCCAGTGTATGTTTCAGTTAGGTGCGATGCAAAGTATTCCTGCAAAAGGGGAGTAATACCAAATTTAATTTGAGTGAAATATTTTATATAAAAGACAGTCAAATGATATTGAATTTTAGCTTTTAGCAACATACCTGGGTAAGAAGACAATCTGTCAAGCTTTCCTCAATGCATCAACAACTCGACGGCTAGTTGTTGCTTCTTGTTCCATTTTTGAATGCAATGGTTAAAGTTAGAAATATGCATTATACATGGAAGGAAGGAAATACTAAATAAAAAAAAAATTGTACTTTTAGCTTTTTTATTTTTCTCCCGATATCCTTTCAACCTAGATGTAAATACTCCTTTCGGTCTCTTTTTAGCATGGTCGTTCACATTGACTTCTATATTTGTAAGTTGCTTCTTCTTTTTTTGTTTTCTTGATTTCGATCGTTCTCCCTGCTAGAGTATCCTCAATTACTCCAGATAATTTCTTAAACGTCTCCCACAAACACTCTTCAACTAACTCATTTGCTCGTGCTCTATTAATGAGTTAATATGCAAATTTCTGGGAGCATGACGTGAATATAATGGAACTTGAAGAAACATTATTCAACCCAGAGCCTTTTAGATCTCTGCAACCAAACCTGTTATACATGTCCTGTTTAGCATGGATAGACCACCGCAATAAGAAATACTTCTCCGGAATCACCTTTATTTTGGCGACACTGAGAACAAATAGTGCATGGAAGCACAACAAGTCCATCATCTCAAATTTTTTGCAACTACATGTAACCTCACAAGTAACTTTGTCAACTAACACAGTTCAGAGTTGCCCCTCATCATCCAATCTTAATCTTAATACGTAATATTTAGTCTCACTCTCCACTGATACTTCAGCTGTAAGCCTTACAGCCAGTACTCGTGTCTTCTTTTCTGAATTTAACTGTGTTGTTAGGCTCTTTCTTGTAGCCAGCTTTTCCACAAATATAATCTTTGATCTCGATTTTCTTGGAGTTCGGCCAGTAGGTAGTGTGGTCCTTCCGAACAGTGAATCCTACGTGATGTGCATAGGCACGATAACTTTCATATGCTTCTTGCTTATTGTGGACAATGCTATTTAGAAACTTTTCTGCAATTGGATCATTACAAACATGTGTTGACTCACAGGACTGCATAATACCATTATAACATCAGCATAGCACAATAATAACACAGTAAAGTAATAAATCAAAGTTAACATTGGAGTAATACCAAAGTAATGCCAGAATAATACAAGAATAACACCAAATAACCACAAGCCTAATACCATAATAACACAAACGTGTGTTGCCTCAGGACTTCATAACACATTGATAACATCAGAACTAAACAATAATAACACAGTAAAGTAATAAATTGAAGGTAATAAACAACGTAACATTGGAGTAATACCAGAGTAACATCTGAATAACACAAGCGTAACACCAAACAACCACAAACCTAAAACCATAATAACAAAAAAAACACCATTATAATACAAAAAAAAAAAAACGCTGTAGAACAACACCCAATAACACTACCTCAACACCAACATTTATATTAGACTAAGCCAACTATTATACCACAGTAACAATACTAAATCAAAGACTAACATTGGAGTAATTCCAGAGTAACACCAGAATAACATAAGAATAACACCAAGAAAACTCAAGTTTAACACCATAATAACAGAAGAACACCGTAAATTTTACCAGTAACAGACCCTAAATTTTAAGCTAACATAAAACTAGAAAAGATTGTATCACTTGATCTTCAAATTTTAAGCTGAATGATGGGTGTAATTCCTTCGACATCTCAAACGACATCTCAACATTCCTAGACACCTCCATCAGAACCCTAGCTGCAGAGCTGCAAACGGAGCTGCGAAATATTTCTTCCACCTACTTGTGAATAGAATTGCGAGTAGAACAGTAAGTAGGCGCGAAAAATTTTTATCCTGGCGGGAAATTTTCCGGGTTTAGGGTCGGGCCGGGTCGCACATTATCAGAAATTATTTTTTGTATTATTTTTACGTGCTTTAATAGGCGGGGTCGGGCTTTCCAAGTAGCGACATTTTATTGTCTACGCACGTAGCTTTACAAGCGTAGTACTGAGGGAATATTTCTTCCACTTGGGGAGGGTTTTGGGGTTGTTGAAATTCTGGAGAGAGGGGAGGTGCTGCCAAAAAAAAAATAAATTCTGGGTTGGCTGGATCTTCACTGGTTGTGTGCATTTGCTGTGGTATTCGTGGAAGCTTCCTTTCTGACCTATAGATTCTTGTGCTTAATTTCCTTGCTCATCAGGAGGTAATAATTCTTTCCGTCTCCCCTCCATTTTGATCGGCTTGGCCTGCAAAGAGGTTCTTAACCTTGCATCTGCTACACAAATCTTGTGTGTCAGCATATTTGCTCCTAAATGTTCATATATATATATAGTTGCTTGCCTTCTTCTCTCTCTAGCCTACTCGGTGTCACTGTCGGGTGTGCGGTTTGTGGCGCCAAAGCTTTATAGGTGTAAACATCAAGGTTTGAGTTTAAATATATAAATATATTACAGTTGTGGGGATCTAGGCTAAGACCTCTTTTACACATGTCTTGTTCAAATCATGCCACCAAATAGTCTTTGTGCTTAAATAAAGTGGAAGTGCACGAGAATGAAAAGTTGTGGATCGCCTGTTGCTCACAATTTTGGTGTTTAAAGCAGAT